GGCGGGCGAGGGGAGGGGCTGGGCGAGGGGCGGGGCGGGCGAGGGGAGGGGCTGGGCGAGGGGAGGGGCTGGGCGAGGGGAGGGGCGGCCCCCCGGCGGGTGCCGCGCCGCCAGGGCCTGACCCCTCGCCCAGCCCTCGCTGCAGGAGCCGCGCAACGGGCCGCGCAAGGGGTCGTCGTTCTCGGACGCCGTCGACGCGCGCGCCTTTGAGTCGCTCGTGCTGCGGTATGCGCCGCCGTGGCCGTTGCAGCTCGTCTTCACGCCCGCGCTGCTCTCGCAGCAGCAGCGCGTCTTCGCGCTGCTGCTGCGCTTGCGGCGCGCGAAGTGGTCCCTCGAGACGGTCAGCGTCGGCGCCGGCGCCGCAGGAGGCCGCTGCGCAGGCTCGACTCCGCTCACGCGGCTCTGGTGGACGCTTCGCTCCGAGCTGCTCCACGCCGTCCACCACATCCTCGCGTACGTCACGCTCGCTGTGATTGCGGCCGAGTGGCGATCCCTCCTCGACGGGCTCCCCGCCCTCTCGAGCGTGGACGCCTTCGCCGCCGCGTGCGCCCGCCTCTACGAGCGCATCGCCTCGCGCTGCTTCCTGGAGCCGCAGCACGAGGCGGAGATGCGAGCCGTCGACGCCATCCTCGCGCTCGCGCTCCGGCTGCGCGCCCAGCTGAGTGACGACCTCGCCGCGCTACCCGCGGTTGCGCACGCGGCGGCGGCGAGGCGATGGCGCGCTGAGCTCCGCCGCAGCGTCCAGCTGCTGATGCGCACGCTTCGGCAGCAGCCGGAGGGGCGCCCCCTCTCCGAGGCGCTCGACTTCAACTCGCACTATGGCGGGAGCGAGGAGGAGGCTTGACGCATGACGCGATGACGGCGCAGCGACTGTGATGTGTTTAGCCGTATGTTTTTACTGTATGTGATCCGACTTTAAGAGAGCGCAGAGCCGCGCTGGGAGAGCCCACAGCCACACACGCGCTCTATTACTTTATCGTTGAGTCTTGTGTCAGTTGTCTCTCTACACCCGTATATACAGCGTGGTCCGTGGTATACTGTTAGCCACTCTCTCAATAGCACAGGACCAATCGCGGTCTCTACACACCAGCGCCCTGACTGCGGGCAGATACAGATAGACACAGGCACACAGTTTACAGATACACGGGACATCGTCCTGGTTTTCGTTTTGAGCGCGCCGATTGAGAGACTGAGAAAGTGTTGATTCGAAGATTCGTCCATGGTGAATGGGCCGAACCGCGGCCTGGCTGGCCGCGACTCACGCCTGCGACGCTGCCGTCCAGGACGCGGCGCGCCGCAGTGCCCGCGGAGGCGAGTTCTCCTCGAGCGAGAGCCGCCCAATCTCAAGGTGCGCACTGAGCGAGTCGCGCCGCCGTCGCCGCTCGAGCCGGTCCGCCGCCTCGGCCAGCCGCGAGGAGAGCGCCGCGGGCGTGCGGACGATGCCGTGCGCCCTCAGCTCCGCCGGGCTCGGCCGCCGCTCGAGGCTGTGCGTGAGCTGGTCGCGCCGCATAGCGTGCTCCAGCTGCTCGGCGGCCTGCGCGAGGGAGGGGCTCATCGCCGAGGCGTACGAGTGCTTGAGCACGCCGCGCTGGAGGAGCTCGGACGGGTCGGGCCGGCTCGTCAGCCGCGAGACCACCGCCGCACGCGTCATCTCCCGCTGCAGGGCCTGCTGCGCTGCCGCGAGCCGCGCCGAGGTGTGCGCCCCAACCGGAAGGATTCCCAGCGCCTGAAGCTCGCCGAGCGAAGGGCGGGCGCCCAGGGTGTGGTCGACCGTGTCGCGCGCCGCGTCGATCCGCACAGTCGGCGGAAGCAGTGCGCGCAGCTCTTTGCAGGTCGAGGTTAGGGCGAGGAGCGCCTGGGGCCTGCGTGGTTGCGAGGCGAGCGTGCGGACGAGGACCGTCAGCACATCCTCAGGCAGGTCGTCCACCAGAGCCTCTCTGTCTGACCGGTGCGCATCTCTGTTCGGGGACGCTGCGCTTGACATGCCGCGCGCTTTCCTCCCATCAGTCCAAAGTGTCCAGAAGGCGGGCGAGGTGGCGGGCGTTGGAGATTTAACGAGCGGCGGCGTGAATTGAATTGGAGCGCTCGGTTTGCTTTTGAGGCACCCCCGCACGCATTTTTTTACCGAGGCGGTGCCCGGTGCCGAGCGCAGGCGGTGCCCACAGGTCGGACCTAAAGGAACCGCAGTGTAGATTCCTGGGCGAGGGTGATGGATGGAGCCTCTTTCCCGTGACGCGTGAGCCTTGAGGCTTGAGAATGGTGTTGTTTGTCGTCTTGTGTGCCTCTCGGCCCTCGGTGGTACAGTCGTAGTGCCTAGTAAGAAGGAAGGTGCTCGGGTGCTCGATGCAGCGAAGCCGCGCGCGATGGCTCGCGCGCGCGCGCGCCGCGGCGAGGCGCGAGATATGCAGATATCCAGCCAGGATCCAGCTCCGCTCCCGCGGCGTGTGGATGGTGCGTGGAGCGTGGCGCTGCTGATTGGAAACCAGAACTCCTGTCCCACCGTAACAGGTGTAAGGCTACAGCGAGCGAAACACGAGACCCTCACCGCTCACGCCGCTCTCCGGTCCTCCCAGACGGGCTCGCCGCGGTGGCTCGACCAGCGCACGCGATCCATCTTGTACGGCACGTCGCGCGTGTTTCCGTACAGGTACGTGCCGTCGGTGCCGCACCCGCGGTCGTTGACCCAGAGCGCCCCCTCCCAGAGGTGCAGGTGGTCGGTCACGACAATCTCGCGGCCGAGGAGCGGCGAGTGGACCAGCGCCGAGGCGGTCGCCATCTCGCCCTCGAAGTGGCCGCCCACGCGCCGCCAGAACACGTCGCAGCCGGGGATGAGCAGCTCCTCTGCCAGGTCTCGCTCCGCGTCCCAGGCGACGGCGGCCGCGTCACCGCTCGCCGCGCGCAGCTTCGCCTCGACCTGCTCGGCGAGCCGGAAGATCTGCATCCGGATCTCGCCGTCGGCGGCCGAGCGGCGGGCCTCCGTCGGCTGCAGCGTGTACAGCCGCTGCCGGAAGGGCCTCGCCGGGTCGCCGTTGAAGTAGTAGTTGGCGAGCACGGCCGGGCGCTCGAGCGCGAGCGGCTGCAGGTGGCAGTGGATGTGCTCGTGGCCGCCTCCCTCACGCGGCGGCCGACCGGCGCGCCGGTCCTCCAGCGCCTGCTCGAGGTTGTCAAAGTGGCCGCAGAACTGCGACAGGAACTCGTCAAAGGCCAGCCAGCGGGACTGGTCGAGCTCGGGCGCGGCGAGAGCACTGCAGCGCGGCGGCGCGGCGGCGCGGCGCAGGGCAGCCCGGGCCTGGCAGCGTGCGAAGCCTCCGAGCTCGACCGCGGGCTGCAGCGCAGCGCTCGTGAAGGCGACGGCGGTGGCGAAGATCAGGAAGGCCGCTTGCGTGCAACTCATTGCATTCGGGGTATTTTGTCCTTGTGAAAGAAAGAAAGAAATCGGCGAGGCCGGACGGAGAAGCCTCGAGGGGTGATGTCGAGTGAGGATGTACGTCGTGTGCGTGTCTGGTGTTTGGGGCGCTCCGCTGCTAGGGGAAACCTGGAGCGCGGACTAACCCTCGCGCCTCGGAGACCCGTGTTTACTTTAAGGCCCTTTCCCTGCGAACGTCCAATCATCCGGCCCGCTGGGTGCGCTTCTGAGCTCCCCGGCCCTGGATGTGCGGTTACTGATTGCACTCCAAGTGCTCCAAATTTAATTGGGAGGACGGCACGCCGCCACCACACACCTTGTGCGCCAGTCGCGGGTTGGGGCGCGACATTAAATTCTTTTAGTTAAGAGCGTTGGATCAGAGAGTTTGCTCTCTCTCTAGTGATTCCAGGCGCGTAACGAGTACTAGCTCCACGAGGCGCCCCGCAACTTCCCGAGAAGTAGCCTCCTCGCTCGGAGCTAACATAGAAGTTCACTTCGCGCGAATGCACACATTCGACAAAAACGAGTGTTAGAGTTGTTTGGTATTGCTAATAAGTTTTTTCAAGGTTTGCCCGGCCGGGTTGCTGCGCAAATCTCGCGCTGCGCTAGGGCCTAGGCTCAGAGCGAGCTCGCGCTGCGCTAGGCTCAGACGGCGTGCGCGGGCCGCCGGGGTGAGGACCCCACCTCCTTTGGCCTTTATACGCTTTTCTCGCCGAGTACTATCTATAACTATTTCTTTTTGCGTGCAACTCATTCGGGGGTTATTTTTCCTTGTGCGCCCGGTAGTTTATCTTTGCTCGGCCATACGTCATGACGGGGTAGTTAGGGTAGGTCTGGGCCCTCCCGTCGTTTTTCCCTCTCTTCACGCCGATTTCACAGCAGGAAAATTTGTTGCTCCCACAGCAGGAAAAACATTAGGAAAATGAGGATTGGTGACGCTCTGCCGTCGCATCTCAGGCGGCATGCTCGAGCGCTTTGCAAAGATCTTCCCCCCTTGGCTTGCGCCGAATGTTGGCCCAGGCTTCACTTCTGTTAATGGTTCGATCCTCCCCAGAGTCGAACTGGCAGCCACTCGCACCGAGGAGGCGAGGTGTGGCTACGTGACCCAGAAAAGGCCAGAGTCAGGAGCAACCCTCGAGCTGGGTCGCTCATATACTCAACACGCCCCCACGACGCAGCACGAGGTTGCTGCTGTATCTCCGATACCGCCGTGTTTCGAGGTAGGGCAGGCGTTCCGGGACGCGAGTTCCCCCGGGTTACCTTGGGCACTATTTTCGATCTTTTTCGTAGCTCACACACGAAGGGACTCAAATCTTCGCAGACGGCCGTCGACCTGGGAGATCTCACCGGAGGTACCATGTTAATGGTTCGATCCTCCCCAGAGTCGAACTGGCAGCCACTCGCACCGAGGAGGCGAGGTGTGGCTACGTGACCCAGAAAAGGCCAGAGTCAGGAGCAACCCTCGAGCCGCGCAAGAACTTCTTTTTGTGGGCCGGTGTTGTGGCCCGTGTGTGTGCCGGTGTGTGGCGCCGTTTCGCGGAGCGCGAGGTCGGCGTTTTGGTTTATGAGAAGCTGAGGCTGACGGGTGCCACCGATGCGGATCGAGCCATTGGCCGCCTCCTCCCACCTCCACACCACATCCTCCGGCCTGCCCGTCGTCTACGACGCTGAGGCGCTCGAGACGTACTTCTCCACGCCCGACGGCGCAGAGGCGCTCACCGGCCGGCTCGGGAAGCTGGCACGAGTCACGTCGGGCCTCGGCGTCCGCGTCGGAACCACCTTCCTCGCGCTGCTCGCTGGGCTGGCGCCGCCGTCCGTCGGTCCGACGGCGCTGGAGGACGCGCTCGCGGCGTCGCCGGTGCGCGAGGCCTTCGAGGAGCTCGGCCCGACGTTTGTCAAGTTCGGCCAGGCACTCGGCTCCCGTCCCGACCTGGCTGGTGAGCGGCTCGCACTGCAGCTGCGCGCGCTGCAGGCCGAGATGGCTCCGTTTGCCACCGCCGACGCGAGGGCCGTGATCCAAGCCGAGTTCGGAGAGGTTGCGGCCGCGCCGCTGCTGCGCGCGCTGCCCGCCACGCCGGCCGCCGCCGCCTCCATCGGCCAGGTGTACAAGGTGCAGCTGCCGCGGGGCCGCCGCTCCCTGCGGCGCGGGCTGCGGCGGCCGCCGCCGCAGACGCTCGCCGTCAAGGTGCTCCGGCCGGACGCGCGCGCGGCAGTCGCCGCCGACGCCGTGCTCGCCCGGCGGGCTGCGGGCGCGCTCGAGTCGCTGCGCGTGCCTGGCGGGCGGCGGCTGGTGCGTCCGGCGCTGGTGGCTGCGGTCGACGAGTTCTTTTGTCGACTATTCGAGGAGATGGACTACGAGCGCGAGGCGGAAAACATCGCCGAGTTCAACGCGGTCTACGGGCGCCGGACCGAAGCGCGGCGGCAGCTGGGCCGCGGCGGCGAGATCGTGCTGCCCGTCGCGTACTCGCCGTGGTGCGGCGAGCGGGTGAGTCGCCGCGGCCTCGGGTGAATTGAGTGGGCAGCAGCCTTCCATGAACCTTCTCGGAGCCTGCCGACAGGTGATCGCCATGTCTTGGGTGGACGGGTCTCCGCTGGTGCCTCCGGACAGGAGGGCGGGCGGCGGTGCAGACGACCTGCCCGCCGCCCTCGCCGCGCGGCTCGCCGGCCGCGTTGCTCTCTCTCCGGCCCGGGCGGAGGAGGTGCGCCTGGTGCGGTGGGGCGTGGCCTGCACTCTCTCGCAGCTGCTCGTCACCGGCGTGATGCACGCAGACACGCATGGCGGCAACTTGCTCAAGGCGAGCCCTTCAAGCCGGCGGATCTGATCGGACTCTACCACCCTGACTCAACCTCGCTTAGCCTGCTCCAGGTGGCGCCGCCGCCGTCGCCGCTCGACGCGCTGCCGTGGGTGCGGCCACGGCCGGCTCTCGGCTACATCGACTTCGGCCTCGTCTCGCACGTGCCTGTGCAGGTGCGCGAGGGCCTCGTCTGCGCGGTCGCGCAGCTGCTCTTCGCACGCGACACGGCGAAGGTCGCTTCCCTCTTCGGCGAGCTGATGCTGCTGCCGCCCGCCAAGCTCGACGAGCCGGCCACGCGCGCCGCCCTCGAGGCCGCCCTCGCCCGCGCCGCGAGCAAGTTGCTCGACTACCCGCCCGGCGCAGCGCTGCCCGAGATCCGCTTCGATGCCCTGGTGGGCGAGGTTGCCGCGATCGCGCCTGCCTTCGAGTTCGAGCTGCCGCCCTACTTCCTCAACAACGCGCGCGCGCTGGCGAGCCTCGAGGGCCTCGCGCGCGCGGCGGACCCGACCTTCTCCATCGTCGAGTCCATCTACCCTTTCGCCCTCACCACTATCCTCGCCGGAGACGCATCGCCGCTCATGCGCCGCACGCTCGACGACTTGGCGACCGACCCCGCGACGGGCCGCGTCTCCGTCCGAAAGCTACGCAGCCTCGTCGACCAGCTCGCGGCGCTCTCGCGCAAGCCACGCCTCGCCGTCACGCTCGACGTGGTGCGCACGCGCGGCGGCCGCCGGGTCATCCGCCGGCTAGCGAGGCAGGCGCTGCGGGGCCGCGGCAGCGCGAAAACATAGTGTCACACTGAGTGTGCGGCCCGGTATTTGCGGGCGAGCCTGGCCAGGTTTGTATCAGGTTTACCGTATAACGAAAAAACGACGGGGACGACACGAGCCGGAATTATGGAGATAACAACCTAGCTAAAGAAACCCGGACGTCATATCCGCTTTTTTGAGCCCGGTTCCACACCCGTCGACACACGGGTACAGTTTAGGTGATCGGCAGCCTCAGAGGAGTGGAAACTGATCCCCGGCGGGCCCTTCGCGACCGACGCGCGCGGCAGACGGCTTCGGATAGACATCGGCTCGGCTCCTAGCGGCTCGCAGAAGCAGCGCGGTCGCTCTCTCTCCGTCACGCCGTTGCGCGGTTGACGCTTTTTCGGCGCTCGCGGCGGGGCGGCAAAGCTGACTTTGAGGCCAATCAAGCCGGCCAAGGCCCCCACGGCGACGGCGCAGACACCACTCATGGCGCCGGTGGCCTCGGAGGCGGCGGAGATGGCGAGGTGTGCGCACATTTTGACGGGTGCGCCAGGCAGTGCTGGCGAGGCGCCCGCCGTTGACTGAACACCTTCTCGCGCGGCACGAGCGGCGCGCGGCGCTGCTGATGGGAGGAGGCAGTCACGGCCCGGACGGGTGCTGGCCGGTGGTCATCAGACCCGCGTCGTCACCGTATTCGGCGCGCAGTTCGGGACTGAACACCTCTCGAGGCGCGGCGCTGCAGCTGCAAAGTGATTGGTGTGCATCCGGCAGAGCCGGCGCGCTACGGCTTGCGCCCGTTGTCCAGACGCGCCGTGCCGCGCTCGCGCGCTCGCCGGATCAGCGCGTGCGGCAGGAACGATGCCGGTGTGCCAGTGTGCCGGTGTCGCATGCGGTGTGCCAGCGCGCCGGGTCCAGCGGACAGCAAGTTGTGTGTGGAGCGGGCGCGCGGTGGCCGTGGCGAATGTGAGCCGGCGCCACTCGCAGCCTGGTGTCGAGGCGCACTGCCTACTGCCCGTCGACTCAGCCGTGCGGCGGGGTATCCGTTTCTGTGTGTCGGTGGTGGTGCGCTTGGCGCGCATAGTGTGCGTGGGGTCTGTGTGCGTGTGCCACTCGCTCGCTGCTGCTGGATGCAACGTTTCCCGTCGTAGTGTGTTGGGCGGCCCGTCGTAGTGTGTTTGGGTTGCTGAAAAGGAAAAGGCGAAATCAAAAGAGCGCTGCGTGACTCTGACTCTGAAAGCGTGGGCCTCCGACGAGATCCGAAAGTTGATCGCTGCCCGATTAGGGTGTGTGTGCGAGGCTCGTCGGCGTGACAGCGACACGATCATGCTTCATCCCGGGCCGCCGATGGCCGATAAGGTTGCCCTAGGGTGGGAGGGCCCTGCGCGCGTCGTCACGCGGTGCTCAAACGCCTCGCGGCGGTGCTGGCACGCAGCCCGCTGCCACGGTGCAATATGCACAAGCCGGCTCGCGCGGCCGCGATGCTGTTCTCACGCCGCGCGATTGGCAGCAATCGGCAGCGCGAGTGTCAACGCGCAGCATAGCCTCGGCAGTGGCGGTGATGGCGCAGCAGGCGCAGCAGCAAAGGCCATGCCCAGCTCCCTCTGCGCCACCGGAGCGTAGTGCGGGTGTGCGCGATGCCATCCCCGTGGGCGTCATCAACTGTGCGCTGGTGGCGAGCCTCTGTGGTCCTCAAATGGCCCTTCTGGCGCTTCGATGCCGCTGCAGCCGCGGCGCAGCTCGACGCGCACGGGCAGCTGTGCTCTCACAGTATGCCATTGCTACACACAGCCTATGGGAGGGTGCACACTTTTACCGGATCCCGCCGGGATCCCATGCTGGTGTGCGATGCTGTTCGGAGTGCCACTCGGTGGTAGCTGCGACGCGAGCGCTGCTGGGTGTGCCAGAGGCCAGCGCAGCATCCTAAGATCGAGCCACACCAGTGGCCCTGTCACGCCGGGCGGAGAGGGCCGCGTTTGAAGCAGCACAGGGAGCCGCACACTTTTACTTCGCACGTAAAAGTGTGCACACACCGGTGTGCAAGCAGGAGAGTCCACACAGCGTGGGTCGGGCCCAAGTGAAGGGCTAGCCTGTGGAGAGCTCAATGCACACACTACTGCCTGGGCCGTATCCACTAGACAGGCCACATAAGGCGAACGGCGTGCGCACATGGGGCACCCGAGATCAACCAGTAGTGTGCGCGTGCGTGCAGGCCGGGTAGGGCTCCTCTAGAATCGGCGCACGAGAAGGGCGGGAGTACCACCTTTCTCGCCCGCTCAAAGCGCGCCTGGCCGTTGCGAAGCGAGCGCCGGAGACCCGCGAGGCGAGACGCGGAGCGGGGGCCCATGTCGGGGCAGCGCGTGTGCGCGTCCCGCTCACGGCTCAGGCGCCAATCCGACAGCATGACCCACGCCTAGCTTGAGAGCAATGCAGATTATGCCCACTCGCAGTCCATCATAACGGGCCTCTTATGTTCACCCGACAACCTTCCGAAGCGAGAGCTGGCAATGCGCCGTCCGGGCTTGTGCGCCTAGGCGCGGCAGTCAGCCGACTATCGGCGGTTTGGACTGGCTCTCGTCAGCTGCACGCGCGCCCGGGTTGAAGCGGGATGGAGTGGTGACACCGGGCGGTGCGTCAGGCTACCCGACGACGTTGGAGTCACTGTCACACGTCGCGGACAGCCTGCACACACGGCGGGGCCGGTGCGAAACGGGTGAAAAAGAGACTTTGCGGATTTCAACCGACTATGCGGGTTTTCGTGCAGGTGGGGTGTCTTTCCTTCTCCTCCTCCGTCCGTTTGAAAGCGGCCAATGTCCTCAAAGATAGAAAACACACAAAGGGTTTTGCAGCATAGCTGCATAGGCACCGGGTCTGGCAGCACCGGCTCAACGCCGCGCCCCGCGGTCGGTGCAAGCAGGGAATGTTCCCGCTGCTGCAGCCTCCAGTCGCGGTGCGGCCTCCGCACTCTCGGCGTTCGCCTCTCGCCCTGCTGCAGCATCCGTTCTCCCATCTCTGGCTGCCGTTCGCCGAGCGCCTCCTCAAAGCATGCGAGAATCTCGTCGCTCTGAAGGTCAGTCTCGAGCACGTCGTCAGCAGCGCGGATGCTCGCCAGCACGGCCCGCCGTCGGTCGCGGTCTCGTCTTAGTTCTGGCAGCGTCGGCGCCGACCTGCTCCCGCGCTGGCCACGCATCATCGAGCAATCGCGTAACGGGAGGCTCGCGCTGGCTTTTTGCGGCTTTTTGGACGGCTTTTTTGGATTCTCCCGCCCTCCCACCCCTCTCTTGGGTTTTTTCAGCTATGTTGTTAGATATGACATGTTCCGTGTTCCTTTTTAGATTTTACCCATTCTGCCATCTCACACAGTTAGAGCTGTTTAACATTAACTTTGGGCCTAACAGTTGCGCTAGTGTTGGCTGAAATCCTGAACGTTGTTCAAGTGTTCACCACAGCCCATGCTGTTACTGTTTGTTACTGTGGCGGATCTATGTGGTCTGGCGTATGCCAGGCTGCGGGTCCAAAGTGTCCCGGCGCGGCGCGCGCCACCGCCCCCGGCGCGGGGCGGGATGTCAGTACGTGAGTACGGTGTCCCTGTCCCTGTGCCCCACTTTCTTCTCCCGCGTCAGTCCCTGAGAACTCCACTACATAGCGCCACCTCGTGAGCTGTCCTGTGTGAGCTGTGTGCTGTGTGTCCAGCAGTCCGGACCCGGTGCTACGGCCGGTGACAGTGCGCCTCGTGTCGGCTCCCGAGCCAATCGTGTGCAGCGTGTGTGTGCGTGTGGACCCGTCCTCCATGCTAGGAGGTGTGTAACACTGTCTGACTGACTGTTACTGTTGTTCAGCGGCCAGCAAGCAGAAAATGGCAAAAAACCCGGGTAAACCCCGAAAATACCTGGGTTTTCCCGGCTGTTTTCGGGTATTACCCGCACTGGACGCTGGAGATCGTCGTGGGTCACTGCCAGGCCTTCCTTATTGTTGTTCAGCCGGCCTAACGTTAGCTACTGTTGTTGGGGAGCCCAACTGTTGTTCTGTGTTGTTACTTGTTAACACTAGCAACACTGTTCAGCTCCCACAACGTTAAACAGCTCTACTCACAGTAGAGAGGTGTCCGTATTTATTTATTTGTTTATGCTTTAGATCCCACATTCGCGATTCACCCCCTTGGAGTGTGAAGGCTTCGTAGCCCTCCGGTCTACTACGCAGGATCGAAAAAAAGCAAGCGAGTGTTCGCGATTCGGAATTCGCGGGAGACGGGAGGACGACGACCCCGGCTAGTCGCCGACCACACCCACGTGTGACACAAAGACCCCTGCACAAAGATCGCACGGGCGGGGACCTGTTCCCTTTTACCCATCTCACAGTCGAGGTGTACGTTGTATTTATTTATCTCTGTGGATCGCTGCCATCGTGTATGCCTGTCTGTGCCCTGTGGGCGCCTGCGCCCGCCGCCTCCTGAGCGGGGTTCGGCCCCCCCTGTCTGAAAACAAAACAAATTCGAAAGCAGCCAAATTACTGATCTAAACGAATCTGAAAGCTGCCGTGCGGAAACCCTTGTTCACAGCCGACCCGAAAACGCCACCCTTCCCCTGCTTCACCCCTGATGCTGCTTCATGTGCTGATTCCCCGCGCCCCCTCCTTGCGCCTTGTGCCCCCACCTTGGGCGTCTTTTCTACTCCCACGTGAGGGTCGATTCCGCTAGGACTCCACATGGCCCATACGTGTACTCTCGTGAGTGGTCGATTCCGCTACGACTCCACTGTCCCATACGTGTAGGGGGGGGGCGCCGGGGGCGCGGGAGGAAGCTGGCGCACCAAATCGCACGGTGTTATGCATCCGCAGTTATCTCTAGCAGTGTATATACACTCAATGCTGTCTTAAAAGGTCCGACCTGCGGGCACCGCCTGCGCTTCGGCACCGGGCACCGACTCTCGGTATATACAAAATGCGCCTGCGGGCGGACCCTCACAGCTCAGCACGGGCGGGGACCTGTCCCTTTTTACCCATCTCACAGTAGAGGTGTCCGTATTTATTTATTTATTTACAGCTCACAGCTCACAGCAGTGTATAATTTATGTGTGCCAATCCTGGGTTGGTTGTGCAGTCGGCTGGCGGGTCAAAGGGGTCCCGGAGTGGCCGAGGGTCCGCCGGCGTGGTGCGTGTGCGACGCCGACCTGCGGCCGACGCGGACACACGTGCGTGCCACTGACTGACTGACTGACTGACTGCCTCGCTCGAGCGAGCTCGTTCGTTCCTTGCCCTAGTCCTTGCCACGCCGCACGCGCGCAGCAGCCAGCCGCACGGGGGAGCCCACGATCGCCGCCCGGGGCCCCTCGCCCACACACTCTCGTTTATGTTAGCTCAGCTGCACGGTAGCGGCCCCCCCCCAAACTTACTTGAACCCAAGTCCCAAAGTTCCGGGCCTCTCCCGACTATTGCAATAATGGCCAACACGCCTTTCGCCACGCCGTCTCTCGACCGCGAGACGCTTGATCGCGCCATCGTCCAAATGGGGCGTCCTGAGGCATGGAGTCCGCTCCTGCAGCGGCTCAATGACGGCAAGCCTCTTCGCCTCGGAGTCTTTGGGGCCTCTGTCGCACAGCATGGTGGCTGTCTTGACCAGCCCTACAAGCGGTGCATGGAGTTTGACGGTGTGAGCTTGGCCGAAATGTCATGGGGCGAGCCTCGTAAGCGGCCAGTCAAGGGCTGGGCTGTTAGCCTTCTCGAGCACTTCAATAGCTTGTGGCCGCACCCGCAGCACCAGCTCAACAACAGCGCACTAGACGCCACGCCTGCGCAGGCAGTGCTGCCCTGCCTCTTCTCACATTTTCCAACTCAGCTCGATATGGTGGTCCTTGAATTTGGCTCGATGGCGCAAAGTCTTGACCGCTTCGCTGTCGAGGCCGTCGCGCGCAGGTTGCTGATGATGCGCCCTCGCCCGCTGCTCCTCCTCCTCTCTGTGCACGCCTGGTGCAACATGGCGAAGTCGCCTGGCACACCACCCGCTCTTTTCCGCGAAGGAGATCGAATCGGGTCGATGCGCTATCCGAAGACGCCGTGGTCGGTCGTCGAGGACGAGGCGAGTGCGGTGTGTGAGCGGTATGGCCAGGCGTGCATCTCTGTGCACCGTGCGCTGATGCCACACGTCAGAGCAGGCGCCACCGGCTTCAGCATCGATGACATTACCGGCCCAGACTGCCTGCATCCAGTCAATGGCCGGCATGGCCTGCAGTACGTCGATCAGATGCTGCGGCATTATGTGGACCGCGTGCGGCTTGCCTACTCTCGGGGCGGCCGCGGAAGCGGAGCTGCTCGCGCGCCACCGTGGGACACCAGCGGCGGGAAAGCGGGCAGTGCGGCCTTTCCCACTCCGCTGCACCGGCGGAATTCTGTCTCGCCGCCCGCGGCTCGCTGCTACTCCTTCTTGCAGCCGACAGTTCAGAATGGCCGCCTCAACCACCTCTTTCAAACGAGGCAGCCGATCGGCTGGCAGTCGGCGAGCTGCGCCGCTGCCGGCGTGTGGCACCCGACATCGGTGCCCACGCGGCAGCCTCCGCTGGCCGGATTGCCCGGCCGGAGGTACCACTCCGCGGGAGTGAGTGGCGGGGAGGGCTGTGTGGCGCGCGCGCCTCCCGGTGACGAGTGCCCGGTGTCTCGCTTCGCTGCTCGATTACCCGCCTTCTTGGCGACCAAGCCGCAGGGCTGGTTCTTTTGCCGCCGCGCGCTGAGCCGGAGCGCCAAGATCAGCCAGGGCGTGGTGGCACTCGAAGCGGGGGCGACCCTGCGCGCCGTGGTCGACACGCGCGTGCTGGAGGGCGAGGGTGCCGGCGCCGCGGACAACAAGAGCGCGGCTGTACACCTCGGCTTGCAGTACCTCGCCTCGTACGAGGGCATGGGAAAGGTCGAGCTGCGCTGCGTCAGCGTCTGCTCGTGCTCGACCCACATGCTCGATGCGCATCGGCCAGAGGAGCGCGCCTCCATCTACATCACCCACAACTTTCCTATTTGGGGCGCAGTGGCGCGATGCGAACTCCAGCTGCAAGTCCTCAACGCCAGCTCGCCCGGTGGCGGCACCAAGTTTAAGGTTCGCAGCCTCGTCGTCACGGCGAGCGCCCACAGCGACGCGGCGCATGACATACGTAAGTAGCAGTGGTTGGGCTCAACGAGGTTTTCCGGAAAACAAAAAGGAAAACAGAGCTCTGGGGGGAGGCGGGGGCCCCCGGAGGCACCGTGCGCCGCGCCGCAGTGCGGAAACGGGGCCCCGGCTCCGCTAGTCTCAGCTAGCACCGACTTCCCGATTAAGCTAGGTTAATCAGAGGGCAGATTTGGAGAGATCTCGAGGAGTACATACAGATAGACCCTCCAACCATCAGAAAACTCCGACCTGATCGGTCGTACTGACCGCCGACAGATCACTCCAGACAGCAGACAGGCCGACGTCTGCACGCGGCCGGCCGGGCGAGAGGCTTGACACGATCCGACCCTGCGACCCTGACGCTGCTGCTCTAGCTATCAGACATGCACTGCTGACTGCTGCCACAATGTGCGACCTGTGCTGGCCCACTTGGCGGCCTTCCCGGTCAGTGGTGAGGCGCAGTTCAGAGCTGTCGATGGCGCGATGCCGCACTGGTCCCACATTGGTGACACGAGACCACCAAGTTTGCCGGTCCAAGAGAGAGGCACCAGCGCTCTCCTGAGAAGGTGCATGGTCCCTCTTGACTGCCCATGCGCGCGAGGCTGTGTAGGCATAGCCTCGAGAGTGCCAGCAGCCAATCCGAGGCAGTTTGTGACGCGCATTGCGTCAGAAGCGTGCACGCGCTGGAAGGACACCTTCCTACTGGCCGTACGATAAGGTCGTCACTGAATGGTGGATACTAAGGCCGCGAGCTATGCAGGTGGTCAATTGTGCAGCAGGGCACGGTCAGCAGCGCCGACAGGCTGTCGCAAGGCGATTAGGCGTGATAGCATGGCCGCAAGTACAGCGAATTCCCATGAAAACAAGTAAAAATTCGCGAAAAAAAGAAAAAAGCCCGAAAAAATCGGCGCCTGCGGCGGGCCATGGGACCCCATCTCCCCCCCGCATGGATGCCCTCTAGGGCCCCCGCCTCCCCCCAGAGAAACAGAGGGTCCCCAGCACTTTGCGTTTCCGGAAATTTCCAGGGAAAACAGAGGGTGTTTGGTGCTCCATTCTGGAAACTCGCGAGTTTCCAGGAGTCTGAGAGCTGGTCTGGGGCAAAATCTGAGGCAAAATTGAGGAAATCGACAAAATACCCAGGCGGTCGCAGGGTAATTTCCAGGTATACACGGGTTCTCCGCGAGGAATTCCCGGCATTTTGCCGATTTGGCCTAAAATTTGGCTGATTTTGGGCCCAAACCAGCCTCAGACTCGGCTCAGAGCCGGCCCAAAATTTGACGATTTCCACGCAGTTTTCCCGGGAAAAGAGAGAGGAAAAGAGAGGGTGTTGTAGAGAAAAAAGGAAAGGAAAACAGATGGGGTGCGAGAGGCAAACCTCGTTGAGCCCAAAGCAGTGGCGTGGGACCGGAACGGGGGATTTGCGGATTTTTGCCTTTGCAAGCACTTTTTCGTTTACGTTTTTGCGTGCCGGACACCCCGACCCGATGGGGGGTCGAGGTCGTGTCCCTCTCTGACTCTCGCTAGTATTTTCCTTACTTCTATGTCGCCACACGACAAGCAAGAGCCGCGACCCTGGACTTGTTCCGTCATTCTCCACATATCTGGTTCAGGGACCTCCAACGCGCACAACGGTGGTAAAGACTAGAAAGGTACGGTGGAGAGGAGAGCTGAGATCCGTCGGAGAGACGTAGAGAGAGCCGCGCAGCCGCGCTAGAGCGATAACGGATCCACGCGCGTGTCTCTAGAGAGGCTCACCAAAAGAATCACATGTGTCTAGTACGACGTCGCAAGCGCGCCCGATAGTCGTTGCTTACTCAGGTAGCCCCGCGACGTGTAGCCGCTGTGTCGGCGAAAGAGGAAGTCGTGCAGCTGCGAGAGGCGAGTGAGTTTGACGAGGTCGCCCGAAACAAAGGCTCGCAGGCTCGCCTCCTCCTTGTCGCGGCGGCGGCGCAGCGCGTGCGCTGGCATCGCGCCCACGTCGTCCACGGCGTCATAGGTGACCTCTCTACCCTGCGCGGGCAGCGGCTGCAGCCCCTTGAAGACCCAGTCGTAGATGGCTTGCGTGCGCTTCATCTGGAATTCCGACGTGATGATGCGCAGCCTGGACCAGTCTGGACGGACGTCGATGTGCATCACGCGCGCGAAGAAGGCGTTGCCGATGGTGTCGTCGCTGTAGCCCTCAACGTAGATGTCCTCGGCGCGCACCCCCATCGCCTCAAGCTGCTTGCCCATGAGCGCGGCCTCCGGGACAGCATATCCGTTCGCGTCCACCCACTTTGGCTTGTGCGTCGTGCCACCACCGTTGCACACGATGCCTGGACGCAATCCTGCGGCTGCCTGCGCTGCGTAGAGCTCAGCCGCCCGGCGGAGTCGTCGCATGACCGCCTCGTGAGGCACGCCATCGTCGCCGACGCCGCCTGCTAGCACGATGATCGCGTCGTCACCCGGTGTGCGTCTGTAGGCGAGCGTCAGCGCAGCGACCAGAAGCAGACAAACGAACCATCGAAACATCAAGGCTAAAAGAAAACGTCCTAATTTCCGGGGTATGGTATGCTCGGGCGAGCGAGCACACACACACACACACACACACACACACACACACACACACACACACACACACACACACACACACACACACACACACACACACACACAGAGAGAGAGAGAGAGAGAGAGAGAGAGAGAGAGAGAGACTACGCCCTGTTTCCGACCCCTTTTGCGCAGCAACACCTTAGACTTTTAGGCCCTCCAAATTCGGGTCGGAGCGTAGCGGAGTGAGTGGGCCCCGAGTTTGAAAAGGGCGACGGACGCTTGCGTCCTAGCCTCCAACAACGCCTCCCCGGCGCAGAGGGGCCCCCGGAGGGATGCTCAACCGCTCCACGCCACGCCGCTTGCGGCGGTCCTATTCCCAGCTCCGCTGAGCCGCCGTGCGTTATTCGACTCTCGTAAAATTTCAGGAGGGTTTAGTCGCGGTGCGGCCTCCGCACTCTCGGCGTTCGCCTCTCGCCCTGCTGCAGCATCCGTTCTCCCATCTCTGGCTGCCGTTCGCCGAGCGCCTCCTCAAAGCATGCGAGAATCTCGTCGCTCTGAAGGTCAGTCTCGAGCACGTCGTCAGCAGCGCGGATGCTCGCCAGCACGGCCCGCCGTCGGTCGCGGTCTCGTCTTAGTTCTGGCAGCGTCGGCGCCGACCTGCTCCCGCGCTGGCCACGCATCATCGAGCAATCGCGTAACGGGAGGCTCGCGCTGGCTTTTTGCGGCTTTTTGGACGGCTTTTTTGGATTCTCCCGCCCTCCCACCCCTCTCTTGGGTTTTTTTTGGACGGCTTTTTTGGATTCTCCCGCCGTGCAATTGTCTTTTTTTTTTGGAGCGGCGGGCAATCACCCCGCAGCTCATGGTGACCCCACGCTCGAGGTCCGGTCGTAGTCGTCGCTGCCGGCGCCTGCTCTCCCTCTTCTACCTTGATTGGTCGAGCCCTCGCTGCGCCGACGACTGTGCCTCAGCTGCCGCGACGGCCGGCCGCGACGTGGCGATCGGAGGCGCTGCAGCCAAGAGCTCCCTTGGCCTCGCCGCGGCCGCGTTCGTGGCCTCGCTCTCGAGCTTCCAGTTTGGCTACGCGACCGGTATTCTCAACGTGCCGCAGCGAATCATCACCACCGACCTCGGCCTGGATAAAGACTCCATCTCTTGGGCCGTCGTCGTCTCCATCTGGGCGTTGGGTGGCCTCCTGGGCGCGCAGGTAGCCGCCGTGGTGGCCGACAGCCGCGGCCGCAGGCCCCTCCTCGCGCTGTCGGGCCTCACCTGCGGTACCTCGGGCCTCGTCGCGTTCTGCGCCGGCACCGCCTCGCTCGCCGCTGGTCCCGAGTCGGTGGGCGGCCGCTCTGCCCTGTGCCTGCTCGTCCTCTCGCGCTTCATCTCTGGAGGCGGGTGCGGCATGGCGACGGTCGCGGCGCCCCTCTACCTCGGCGAGATCGCGACCACCGAGACGCGAGGAGCACTCGGCTCTCTGGCACAGCTCTCAGTCGTGGTTGCCATCGTGGTCGCGCAGGGCCTGGCCGCGCTCATCACGCATCACCTCGGGCTGCACTGGCGGCTTGTGCTCGGCCTGCCCGCCTTCATCGGCGCCGCGCAGCTCGCGCTGCTGCCGCTCCTGCCCGAGACGCCGCGCTACCTCCTCTCGCGGGGCCTCGCGCAGGGAGGCGAGGCGCGCGGCGAGGCGCGCGGCGAGGCGCGCGGCGAGGCGCGCGGCGAGGCGCGCGAGGCGCTGCGCCTCTTGCGGCCGCGGGGCGGGCAGGCGTCCGAGGCGGTGGAGGCGGAGCTGGCGGCGCTGGAGCAGGAGCTCGGGGCGGGAGCGGGGGGAGGCGGACGGCGAGGCGTCCTCCTTCTCTGGCGCGACTCGCCTTCGCTGCGGCTGCCTCTGCTCAACGCCGCCGCCATGATGGTCGGCCAGCAGCTGAGCGGCATCAACGCGGTCTTCTACTACTCGACGACCTTCTTCTCCTCCGCCGGCCTCGACTCGCCCGTGGCCGGCACGCTGCTCGCGTCGGCCGTCAACGTGCTCGCGATGCTCGCCTCCTCGGCCATGATGGAGTGCGCCGGCCGGCGGCGCCTGCTGCTCGTCGGCGAGATGTAGCCGAGATGTAACTGAGATATAACCGAGAGATAACCGAGATGTGGCCGAGATGTGGCCGAGATGTGGTGCCTGCCGCTCGTCGGCATCGGAGGTGCTTCCCTCTTGAGCGTCCGCTGCGTCTCGGCAGCCTCTCGGCTCTATATCGGCTGTAGGGATCGGAGGGATGTTTCTCTCGAGCGTCGGCGTCACCGCCGCGCTGATCGGCAAGGCGCGCGCCAGTGCACACCACGAGGACGACTGGTCGCTCAACTGGCTCTCGGTCTCCTTCGTCCTCTGCTTCGTCATCGCTTTCGAGCTCGGACCCGGCCCGATCCCGTGGCAGATCGGCGCAGAGATCTTCCCCGAGCACGCGCGGGCCGCGGCCATGTCGGCCGCGGCGGCTCTCAACTGGGTGTGCAACGCGGCCGTCGGCCTCGGCTTCCCTGCGATGAGCAGCGCCCTCGGGTCGCTCGTCTTCCTGCCCTTCGCCGCTGTGCTGCTGCTGTGGCTGCTCTTCACGGCACGCTTCACGCCCGAGACGCGCGGCAGGTCCGTCGACGAGATCCAGGTCGAGTTCCGGCGGCTGGCGGCCCTCGGCTCGAGGAAGCCGGCGCGGGCGGAGGGAGACGGCGTCCCCCTCTCCTCCATCCGGCAGCCACAGGGCTGAGCGAGTCCGAATTGCGCGCTATAACACAGGCCCTGCGCTGGGGGCGGCCTCTTGTGGCTGCCTTGGGGCCTCACGTTGTCACCTCGTCTCGCACCGACGTCCGCGAAGAGAGAAGGCGAGAGCCGTGTGCACACAGAGGCTGTGCGCGCGGGGTCCGTCTCTCTCCTCTCGCAGAGGTGGAGTTCCGTGTGTGCTGACTGTGCAGCCGCCCGTGTGCGAGCGAGACATAGCATACATACAACTCTTGTAGGTACTTGTACTACGACAGACAGTGTAAGAGTGTGGCCGAGCGTTTTTGATCTCTCGGTCAGTGGGCGCCCGCCCGCCGCCTCTGAGGGGGTTGGGCCCCCTAGTCTGAAAACAAAAACAGTATTCTCGAAACAGCCAAAATCAGCCTGCGAGAGAGAGGCACACACTGCGCGCCGCTGACCTCATGCGGGGATGTGTGCCGACACCAATACTGATCTAAAATCTGGAAATCCTTGTTCAAAGCCGACCCTAAGCGCCATCCTTCCTGCTCCCCGCCCACCTGATGCTGCTTCCCCGCGCCGCCTCCTTGGCCCCCTTGGGCGTATTTTCTACTCCCTCCCAGTCCGTGGCCCAGTGGGGGGTAGAGCTGTCAAACGTTAAGAGCTGAACAGTGTTGCTAGTGTTAACAGTAACAACAGAACAACAGTGGGGCTCCCCAACAACAGTAGCTAACGTTAGGCCAGCTGAACAACAATAAGGAAGGCCTGGCAGTGACCCACGACGATCTCCAGCGTCCAGTGCGGGTAATACCCGAAAATACCTGGAAAAACCCAGGTATTTTCGGGTTTTACCCGGGTTTTTTTGGATTTTCTGCTTGCTGACCGCTGAACAACAGTAACAACAGTAACAAACAGTAACAGCCTGGGCTGGGGAGAACACTTGAACAACGTTGAGGATTTCAGCCAACAATAGTGCAACTGTTAGGCCCAAAGTTAACGTTTGACAGCTCTAGTGGGGGGGGGCCCGCTGGGCCCCCGGGCCCCCTCTTGTTTTCTGTTTTCTGTTTTTCAAAACGCCCGCCCGCCCGCCACCCCGAGGCGGCTCGGCCCCCCACTGACCGAGAGATTAAAAACGCTCGGCCTGTAAAGTGACACAGTATTTTTTTAAACACCGACGTGTGTTTTTTAGAGACGTCATCCGAGAGCTCGTGCTCGAGAAGTCTAGAGAGGTATCAGGTAAAGGAGAGGCGCGACGCCGGGTACGGACCACGGTGGAGCGGACCCTCGAGGACCACAGCTCGTAAGCACGCGCCCCCTTGTGTACCCGAACGCGTCGCGGTCGCGTTCCCACCCCCATATCTGCGGCCGAACTGCCGAGAAGGGCAGAGTGCAGCTGCCCCCTCGGCCTCGGCCGGCGCGCGGGCGGGCGCTCGTCACACATCGTACGGGAGGCCGTGCAGCCTGCGGCGCGACGCGTCGAAGAAGTCGAGGTAGTCGCCGCCGCGCTCCGAGGGGAAGAGCCTAAGGAGGAGACGCCTCTGTCCGGGGCAAGGTGCCGCGCGGGAGAGCGACCGCAAGAGAGGGAGAGGGGGTGCGCCGCCGCCAGCCGCCCTGCTTCGACCGGCGGAGCTCGGCGTTGACATGTCGCAGCATCTCGCACTCCTGCTGAGAGAGAGCCTCCGCCTCCGGCTGCGCCGGGCCGCTGCCCCCGCTCTCCGGCAGGCCGCTTGCCGCCTGCTGCGCCGTGGGCCGCTCGGTGCCGCCCGCCGCCGGCCCGCTGCCGCGCGGCGGGACGGGGACGCCGATCGTGTTGAGCAGGTCGACGAGCATGCCTGGCGAGGGGAAGGGGGGGAGGGGGGGGGGGAGGGGAGGTGGCGCATTACGAAGGGGGTGGGGGGTGGGGGGGGTCGCCGCCGCCGTGCGGCTTTGATCGAGCAAGAGCCTCGGCGATATCTCGGCGACATCTCGGCGACATCTCGGCGACATCTCGGCTACATGCCGCCGCTCTTGACGCGCAGGTCGAGGCGAGAGTCCGTCTTGAGGGCGGGGTCGAGGTTCACCTAAGAACCAGTCGAGGCTCACCTCGCACCGGCGCCTGCCCTCGCCTCGAGCAGCCAGCATGGCTGTGCTACAGCATGGCTGTGCTACAGCATGGCTGTGCTACAGCATGGCTGTGCTACAACGTCGTGTCGGTACGTCGCGGGTAGATCTCGGCTGCAGCACTCGCCTCGAGCAGCCATGGCTTTGCGTCGCTGTCGAGCATCACGTCGAAGCCGAAGACCTGCACAGGAGTTCTCCTCACCCTCACCCTCCTCCTCCTCCCAACCCCCTCCTCGCGCCACGTTGTAGGGACGGTGGCCTGGAAGCACTGCCGGTTGGGCTCTACCTATCTGTCTGTCTATGCCTGGAACCACTGCCGGTTGGGCTCTACCTATCTGTCTGTCTATGCCTGGAAGCACTGCCGGTTGGGCTCTACCTATCTGTCTGTCTATGCCTGGAAGCACTGCCGGTTGGGCTCTACCTATCTGTCTGTCTATGCCTGGAAGCACTGCCGGTTGGGCTCTACCTATCTGTCTGTCGATGCCTGGAAGCACTGCCGGTTGGGCTCTACCTATCTGTCTGTCTATGCCTGGAAGCACTGCCGGTTGGGCTCTACCTATCTGTCTGTCTATGCCTGGAAGCACTGCCGGTTGGGCTCTCCCCTCGCGTACGAAGGCAGGTACTCCTGCATCCCCTCCACCATGATGGACTCGACGCCTGGAGGAGAGGACGACACGTCCGGGGGCACGTCCGCGGCCAAAGTCGGGTGACGCGGGAGGGGGAGGAGGGGTGGGGTGGGTGTGGGTGGGGGTGTGCTGCGGCGCCGATCATCGTCTTGACGACGATGTCGTCCACTCGCCGCCACACCTAGGAGTACACCTCGCGTCTCCTCGCCTCCCCTCCCAGCCTCCCGTCTCGAGCTCCGCCCGCCCGCTGCCCGCGCCTCGCTCGCCCGCGCCTCCCCCACCTCGCGCAGCAGCCTACAGGGAGGTAGAGTGTCGCCCGGGAGGCTGCGCTCGGCCCCTTCCCCCCTCCCCCCGCGACACTCGGGCGTGCGCCGCTGCTTGAAGGCTGCGAGGGACCACTTGGAGCCGCTGGCCTCGGAGTCGTCGTTGACGAAGCCGGCCGAGAGCTTGTTGAGCGAGTAGTTTGTTAGGTGCGCGCAGCGGCCCTGGAGGCCGGGGTGTGTTGTCTCACCAGTTGAGGGGCTGAAGGCTGAGGGCTGCAGGCTGAGGGGCTGGCGGGGGGGGGTGTTGGAGCAGGTCGCCTGTATGTCGTCGAGCGTGTACGGCTCGGTGGCGAAGCGGGCGAGCCCCTCGCCGTACTGGTACACGGTCAGCGGGTGCCTGCGAGGGAGGGAGGGAGGGCTGGTTTGGAGGGAGAGGCGCGGCGGGCGGGGCTACATCGCGGCTACATCGCGGCTACGTCTCGGCTACGTCTCGGCTACGTCTCGGCTGCATCTCGGCTACATCTGGACCAGCTGGTGACGAGGACGTAGATGCGGATGTCGGACTTGAGTCCGTCCAGGAGGAAGGGGCGGTCGAGGTAGCGGGAGGCGACGCCCCGCTGGCCCTCGCCCAGCAGCTGCTGGGGCAGCTCTGGGCCGGAGCGGTGGAGGCTGATGCCGCGCCCGCAGTACGCGGCTGCGGGCTTGACGATCCAGACGGCCTTTGGGTCGGTGCCTGACAACAATCACAACAATGAGGACTGCTGTTCTCACAACAATGACGATCCAGGCGGCCTACGTGTCGGTGCCGTCGTCGCCGCTGGCGCGGATGTGCTCGCTGAGCTGGCTGAGCTGGTGGGGGAGGAGGAAGGTGGTGGGCATGAAGTCGAAGGCGTCGGCGCCGAAGCGGCGCCGCATCCGCAGGTAGTTTGTCCACAGGTTGGCCTTGAGCGTCAGGCAGTTTGCCTTTGGAAACTTGTTGACCCTCTGGTGCGGCTTCATCAGAGGCAGCTCGCACGGGTCGACCTGGCCGGCGCACCAGAAGATGTTCCACTCGGCGCCGGGACGCTCCACGCGCGCGAAGCCGTGGTCGCGCAGGATGACCTGCGGGCCAGGGGCCGATGTTGAGAGACGCGAGCTATGAGCGGCGGCAGCACTGCCGCCGGTCGACGCGTGTGTGGCGAGAGGAGCGGAGGACTGCCTGGAGAATGTTGGAATTGTGCATCGTCTTGGAGTTGTTGTAGTAGGACAGCGTGATCCCATCGAGCGGATTGCGACCGATGGGACGGTCCTGCCACGAGCCCTTGTATTCGAGCGGGTTGGATGGCACCCGGAAGATGAGCCGCGGCTCCTCGTCGGGAAGCTCCTCAACCCTGCAGCGGCGGGAAGGGGCTGCTCGGAGACGACAGTAAGGGCGCAGCGAGGGCTGCTGGCGCACCACGGGAGCTGGTCTTGGCTGCTTGAAGCCATGGAGCGCGTTCAGCCTCGACCCTTGAGCCGCAAAAAAAAATATGTGCTTGGCGTGGTCTGCCCGTCGGGTTGCTGCCCTAATCCCACCAGGGGTTGTCTGCTCTATTTATTTATTTAGAGCGATAATCCATGACGTGGACAGGGACGGCGGCTGATGTGATCTTTCCGTCCGTTACACATAGATGAAACTCGGGTAAACAGACGTTGGCATAAAGCGGGTGCCCTCCATCTCATGCAAAAATCAGATCAGTGCTTTTGTCGACTATTGCTGGCTCTCTGTGCACCTGCAACGCCAGGGACTGTGCTTGGAGAGTGCCTCGCAGCGCTGCTGCGCCGGTGAATTGGGCCGCAGCGCAAGCTCCACTGGTGGTCGCGACGGTCGGGAGGACTCTTGGCGCTGACAACATGAGGCGCGCGATTGCGCTAGACGATCGTTTGATGCAGGAAACTACGCGCCAGATCTACAGATGATGGCGATGACTGCCTTTGGTGAGATTGCAGGGCCCCGTTACTCTGACTGTTTTGTCGCCATTCGCTCGCACTTCGAGCTGGTGTTCGCCTTCCTGAACTGGTATCGTTTCGCAGGCAAGACCAACAAGCAGGTGAAGCGACGCAAGCGTGGCCTTACCTGCCGCGAAGGCTGCCCTTGTGCAACAGCTGAGGGTCGTGCGCGCTTCAGGCCCGGCGACACTTTTGTTCAGCGCGACGAGTTCGGCATTCACCCGGAAACGCGCTGCGGCGTCTGGAAGCCGCCTTGATCAACATCGCGTCGGCTGGATGCAGTTTGGCCGTATGCGTGAGTTGGATCTGGCGTGAGGAGATGCAAGCCGCCTTCTCGATCGATCGTGTCACGAGTGGGGATGGAGAACGGGGATCGTCTGTTATCTTCTGGACGATGGCGCCGAGACTGCAGCGAGCAGGCAGGAAAAATTGCTGCAGGATATACGACTGTATGGAGGTAGGATCAATGAGAAGATTGACCCCGCACCTCGTGCGGACGGCATGCACGTGAGGTTACTGCGTATATAGAGAGCCGTACTGAGAGCGACCGCGGAGACTCAAAGTGCTCCAAGATGCTGCTCTTTTCATATTTACCTACCGGCACACCCGTCTGGTATGGCTAACATCTCTGTCACACAAGGAACCGAAGACGACACACGTCACAGGAGTGGACAGCAGCTCTCATACGTCATGCGATTACAACGTCGGATACGTGTTCTCGTACACTGTCTCACTCCACGTTCATCCCCGTTACGCGTTAGTCAAAGCGCCTGGCGTAGGAGGTGACGACTTTCTCAAAGTCGCTCTGTGAGACGCTGCCCGCCCCGGACGGATCCGACTGGGCAATCATAGCGGCCAGCTCTGCATCGTCGACATCCTCGCCAATCTCGTCTGCAATCTGCCGCAGGTCCGACGCGGTCAGAGCGCCGCTTCCCCGGCGGTCAAAATGGCGGAACGCCCTTTGAATGTCCTCCGGCCCCGGCCGCTCCGCTAACTTTGTCAGAAGCACCTTCGTGAAGCCGTCAAAATCTATCCGCCCGGTTCCGTCTTTGTCTGCCTCGCTCACAAAAGCCTTGATCTCCGCCTTCTCGGGCTCAGACCCCAGCGCTCGGAGCACCACCCACAGCTCCTCCGCATCGATCGTCCCAGAGCCGCTGGCATCGAAGAGATCAAACGCGTCCTGCGATGCGTGGGAGTCGCGCTCGCGGCCGGCCGCAGCGATGCATGCATGTGTGTGTCTTGTGCCGTCGAATGTGATGGAAGGCCGGTAAGATTGGCTCAATGGCCGGGATGGGGACAACGCGCCCGAAAATCGCGAAGCTGATCGTCGCGCAGCTCCTTCCTCCTGCGGAAGAACTGGGCGTCCTTCATTCGTCCTGGGCGAGCGGAGCCAGGCGGGCAAGGGCGAGCGGGCGCCCGGGCCGCGAAGCGGTTACACGACCTTCCCGATCAAAACCATTTTTTTCGGCGTGGGATACGCGAGATCGGCTCTGACCTCTGTTTCTCTACTCCTGATAGCACGAAACTCGAAAGATCATAATTAATTATGACGAATGGGATGCCGTCGCGCTTCGTTCGCAACGAGTGCTTTGCGCGGCTCCTCCTTCCCTTAGAGCAGTTGCCGCTCGCTCTAGCTAGAAGCTAGAGCGAGGCCTTCCCCGTTTCCGTTTTGAATTCCCCAGGCGCCAGGCGGTTGAAGTGTGTGTGCACCTCCCGGCATGGCCAGCCCTGGTCTGCGGGCCGATTCTTTTGCGGTATCTCCTCTATCTCCCTCTATCTCCCCGTATCTCCTCGCATCTTCTCGCATCTCCCCGTATCTCCCCGTCTCTCTTATCTCCCGGTATCTCCAGCGGTACTAGAGAGTCTCCCGGTATCTCCCGGTATCCCGCGGTATCCCGCCATATCTCCCGCCATATGCATATCCCGCCATATCCCGCCATATCCCGCCATATCCCAAGATGCAGAAACAAGCTTTCAGTGCCGACAAGTGTAGGCACTGGATTATCGTGCGCGCGGAGCGCGCTGGTGCTACCCGGACACACGCGCGGAGCGCGCTAGCTGGACACACGCGCGGAGCGCGCTAGCTGGACACACGCGCGGAGCGCGCTAGCTGGACACACGCGCGGAGCGCGCTAGCTAGACACACGCGCGGAGCGCGCTGGCACCTATGTGCGCGGAGCGCACCGCGGTACCGGTAGAGTCTAGACACATGAAGACAGTCTGTTGCAGTCAGTTGTGGCCACGCTGCTTCGAAGCTGGCCTGACGTCGTAGCACGCGTCTGGCAGACGCTGTGTCTCTGCCTTCTTCCGCGTCATGACCACACCCCGCTGCAGCGAAGCTCCAATGCCGCCCCTCTGTGCATGTGACCTGTCGTTGTGGTGAAAGCGGTCTTCCCAGTTGAGCCCGCCCCAGTTCTCGAGCGCACGGTTGATGAAGGGCACGGCGACGGCCGCATGTAGCGCCCAGAGACACGCGCGGAGCGCGCCGCTGCAGAACACGCGCGGAGCGCGCCGCTCCACAGGCGCGGAGCGCCGCCACTTGGGATTGGGCCTGTGGGTGGGCCGAGTGGTTCCTAGCGTGTGAGTCAACTCTTAATAGAAATCGCACCTAGCCCTCCTCAACCCTCAAAATTTTCTTCGGGGCGCGCTCCCCGCGCGCGGCGCTCCGCGCCTGACTCCTTGAGCGGCGTAGGCGCTGGCTCGCACATGTTCTGCAGCTTGGGCCATATCCCGCCGCCTGCCCCGGCCTCCGCGACCTCATCGATCCCCACGGCCTACCCCGGCCTCCGCGAGCCGAGCCGCCGCCCCCCCCCCGCCCCCACGACGCTACCGGGGGGCCTGGGGCGGCGGCGGCGGCGGCGGGCGGGGGCATGGCCTCGCGGCCGCTGGCGCCGGCGCCCGGCGGGGGCGGCGGGCGGGGCGCCGCGGCGGCGCGCAGCGCGGCGAGCGGGCGCCCCGGGCGCGTCCCACAGCCGCCGCCGCCCCCCCGCGATCCGCCCGGAAGATCACGGCATCACGCGCGCGCCGCACACACGCCCGCGCGAGCCGCGAGAGACGCGCCCCGCCGCCGCGCCGGCGCCGGCGCCCCAGTCGCGAGCCGCAGCCGCGAGCCGGGTGCCCCCCCCGTCCCCGCCCATGGCCGTGCGCCGTGGCGCCCGCGTCGCGCGTGCGGCCCCCAGCCCCGCGCGCGTGGCGGCTGGCGCGTGCGCGTGCGCCCCGACGCGGGCGAGGCAGAGTCGCCGCGCCCCCACGCGGCCGGGGCGCGCAGCGGGTAGACAGTAAAGAGAGTGAAGATTAAGAATGCAGATGGCGTGATACTGACCGTGACACGGCCCACCGGACCCCTATACTCGTAGCCCGCCGCGGGACTTCCACCCCCCCCCTCCCCCAAGCGCTGCGGGCTCCGCGCGCTGCGTATGCTCGCCCGCCGCGTCCGCGAGGGTGAAGAGAGGTGGAGCGCGCGCACACACGGCGCGCTTGCGGACGGCGCGAGGGCGCGGCGCGGCGCACCGGCCCGTACCACCACATCTGCTGGCCACAGCCGCCTCACGCCTAGCCCTTCTTCTTGGACACACCGACGGTGCGGCCCTTGCGGCCGGTCGTCTTTGTGCGCTGGCCGCGCACGCGCAGCCCCCCTGCGGAGGTCGAACGTCGGACGGGTTAGCCGGGGGGGGGGGGGGGCAGGGCAGGGCGGGAGCGCAAGGGCGGGCGGCTGGCACGGCCAGGGCCAGGGGAGGGGGAGGAAGGATCGCGCGCACAGTAGTGGCGGAGGCCACGGTGGGCGCGGATCTTCTTGAGCCGCTCCAGGTCGTCGCGCAGCTTCATGTCGAGCGTGTTGGACACCACCTGCGAGAACTTTCCGTCCTTGTTGTCCTTCTTCCGGTTGAGCATCCAGTCGGGAACCTTGAACTGGCGCGGGTTCTGCATGATGGTCACCAGCCGCTCAACCTCCTCCGCAGTCAGCTCGCCCGCCCTGCAGCCGAACGGCCACGCGCGGTCAGCGCACTCCGCCCGCGCCGGCAGCGCGCGCCCCCCGTTGCCGCGCCCTGGGCCGCCCTGTGCCGCTTTTAGGGGGAGAGAGCGGAAAGGGGGGGCAGGGAGGGCGAGGGACGCACCGCTTGGTGAGATCCACCTCGGCCTTCTTGCAGCAGATGTTGGAGAAGCGGCGGCCCACACCCTTGATCGAGGTGAGCGCAAACATCACCTTGACCTTTCCGTCGAGGTTGGTGTTCAGCACACGCAGGATGTGCTGGAAGTTGGACTCGTTCATGATGAGCGACCCCATGGCGGCCCCTGCAGCGGCGGGCGGCGGCGAATCTCGGCTCGCGGCCACGGCGAGGGGCGCTGTGGGGGAGAGGCGTGCCTCGCACAACCCACGCGCTCCACGTTCGGAGTTATTTTTTCTTTTTTCAGGAAGAATCCGTGTGTTTGTGTGCGGTGTCCGGTGCGGAGTCTCTCTCTGATCCCACCTGTGGTGTTGGGTGTGAGGTTGTGGCGGTTTCGATCCCAAGGGGGGGAGCTGATCCCACTCAGTAACCAACTCTCAGGGGCAGTAGGTGGGCGAGCCTCGAGCGCGCTCATCTCGATCGTCAAGGCGTCGCTACGCGCGGTCTTCCGCGGGGGGAGCTTCGTCGACGGGTGCGGGATCGCGGCGCAGTCAGTGCCGTGGCGATGCCTCCGGCTGTTTGCGGCGGGCGGCTTGCTGCTCGCGGCGATGGCAGAAAACTCGTTCGTGTCGTGGCCTAGGTCGTGGCACACCAAAAGAGCTTATGCTCTGGCGAGATGTGAGGCGCATGCGCCCAGGAGGGGAGGGCGCATGCGTAACGACGCTGCTAGAGATGCGTTTCGGGGCCCAGAGATAAAACTTCTGGATGCCATGCATGACCTAGAACCTTAGTAGTGTCCCCAGCTATGGGCGTGTCCACGTTGGAGCCAGGTGTGGTGTGGGCGCGAGAATAGCTCCGCCGTTAATGGAGGCAACCGATGCGAGTCGACTGGTGTGTGTCGTCGTGGTTTCGTATCAAGAATACTCAAATCCGTGAACCTCGATGGTTTCTTCATTTCGTCTGGCCCGCCGTTGCTGCTGTCATTGCTGCTCATCGACGCGGGCTCTCTCGGCTAACGGGACCGGCCCCAGCTTCGGCTGAGGGTTGACAAGCTGCCGAGCCCAAATCACTGTGAGCACTTGGAGCACTTGGAGTGCAGTCGGCAACCTCACATCCAGGTGTGAAGTCGCGATTTCTTGTTGATTTTCAAAAAAGAAAAATCTCTCTCTTGCTGCTGTCATTGCTGCTGTCATTGCTGGCTGTCTCTCATGAGCACCCCCGCAGGACAGTGTCACAATGGGATGTGGTGCCACTAACGAGAGAGACAGGACACTCAAGATCTGCACGCACGCGCGCGCGACCGCTCACTCGCACGCCCGACGCCACATGAGAAACCCTCTCAACAGTAGCCACGCACCGTGTCAGCAGCAGCGGGCGTGAGTCACAGAATCTGCAAAACCCTTGCCCTCCTTCCTCCAGCATGTGCCGTATGGGCTCCAGCGCTGGTTCATCTGCCGCTCAAAAATCTCACGCGAGCGAACGGCGTCAATCATCAACCGCGAGGGGATTGGGACCTTGAAATCCACGATCGCAAGCAAACGCGCAGAGCATCGTTGAGCAACACACCTCGGGTATTGAACCTCTTGGCCATTGCCGAGCCACAACTGGCGTTGATCAGGAACTCTCATGTAGAGAGCTCGGCTCTGCTACAAGAAAGCAGGCTCGCCCTACACAGAGAAATTCTGAGGTGAGGAGCAGGAGTTTTGCAAAATGTGTGAGACGTACAAACGCTGCTGTGCATCAAGCGCTGAGAGCTACATCCACGCGCACCGGTGTCTTATTTTAGTCCATGGGGTGTAATTCACAGATGGGTGGGTGGGCGGTTGGGCCCCTTCGCTGGTCTAGGGCTATGGCTGCCTCACTGTGGCGCTGGCGCTGCCTCGCTGTCGCTGTCGCTGTCGCTGTCGCTGTCGCTGTCACTCGCAGGGTCCCGCGCTGACATTGTCACCGCCTGTCGCTGGCGTCCACTGGCTTCACTGTCACTGTCAGTATGTATGTATGTATGTAGGAAGGTGAAGAACAGTCAGGCTCGGACTGGACACCGACGCGGTAGGGGTGGACGCTGGACAGATGATGACGACACGCACGAGCGACACACAGACACAAACAAGCTCACAAGACACACAGCCAGCGGGCTGCCACACATCCTGAGTGGGCATACACATCACTCAAGGCCACGTCCCCCCTGTCGCCCCCCCAGCACTCCAAGGTGCCAAGAGACAAACAACAGCACAACAACACAGACAGGCGACGGGGGCGAACGTGTGAGACTAGAGCAGGCATGCTCCGCCTCTAGCAATCTCGTCGCCGGCCGCAAGGCATGGACGAGACCGTGTGTTGGATCTTGTGAGGTGTCTATGGACGCCCTCCTCACAGGCTATTGGCCAGCCGCTAGCCCTAACTCGCACTCATGGGTGACGACAGTTCATTGGATGAGTGGTTGCGAGCAGAGGCGCGTGTGCTGAATCTAGATCGCACGCCGTGGCATATGACTTGGGTAGGCGTGCGACCGCAGCGCGCCCGCCGAAGGCTCGACGGGGCGCGCAAAGAAAGAAAGAAAGAAAACAGACAACCCAAGGGAGGGATGGGAGAACGGCACGCCGTGTCAGATGGCTGTGGCCTGGTATTTCTTATCTTCGCGCTGCCACTTGGTTCGCCTCCGTTTGCAGCCATGCTGTCGAGCGATCTCCTCAGCTGTGGCATCGACCGGTGGTACCCGGACCTGCGCCGGCTCACCATCCGGAGCGTCCTCGTCCCGCTTCCGCCCGACTTTGCCGCCTACCTCGTCGCCGACGGCGTCGTGCTCCCTGGCGGCGATGACGAGGCTGGCGCGAGCCCGGCGGGCGAGGAGGCGGACGACGAGTCCGCGGACGGCTCGGCGGCGTTGGCGCTCCCCGCCTCGTTCGAGGCGGTCCGACGCGCCATCGACGACGGCATCGAGCGGCTCGGCGGCGCCGTCTTTGTCAAGCTCAACTGGTCGGCGCCTCGCGACGCCGCGTGGGTGCTGGGCGGCAGCCTCAAGTGCACGAGCTCGGAGGACGTGCTGCTGCTGCTGCAGTCGTCGGACCGCGCCGCCCACGACCTGACCGAGGCGCGCCGGATGTGCGAGGACGCCGCCGCCGCCGGCGAGGGCGGCGCAGGCGTGGACGCGGCCGGCGAGCCGCACGGCTTTGTGCTCGCCCTGCGAAAGTGGTGCGAGCTGCAGCCCTCGCGCGAGTTCCGCTGCTTCCGCGGCGCCGGCGGCCGGCTGCTCGCCGCGTGCCAGCGCGACCGCTTCTCGCACTTCCCGGAGCTGGGCGCGCGGCGCTCGCGCGACCTCGGCCTGCTCGAGGCGTTTGGGAGGGAGCTGCCCTCTGCGCCCGCTCGGGTGGTGTGGGACGCGTACGTGGACCGGAACGACAAGGTGCACCTCGTCGACCTCGCGCCCTTCCACGAGTCGACCGACCCGCTCCTCTTCGAGTGGGAGGAGCTCGTCGCGCTCGACGACGCCGCCGCCTCGCCGCCGCAGCTCCGGCTGGTGGCGGAGGGACACATCGCGCCCTCGGCTTCGATTTACAACGGCTGGCCGCAGGAGCTGCAGCAGCTCGGCCAGCAGGACCTCGAGTCGCTGATACAGACCGCGCAGAAGGCCGCGAAAAGCGCAGACTCGTAGTAAGACCTGTGCATTGGTGTGTGCGCGGTGTGTGTGTGAAGAGCTAAAACGATCCTAAAAGTGTGCGTGTGCTGCTGTGTCGGTAAACTCAAAACTGTAATCAACGGTGTAAGCCCGTCGCTCGCGAAGTCTGGTGCACTAACGCACTTCTCAACCAAGAGCTACCAGAACAGCAACGTACCGTGGACCTGGACCGGAATTATGCCGGACCACACTGTATACTCCCACGTGAAATCGTGATGGCCCCTGTACTCCCGCACGTGAATCGTCACGTGTGCGTATATGGCCCCGCTGCGAGGCCCCCAGTGTGTGCATGTGTTCATCGCATGTGAGACGTGTGGCGGCTGGCGCGCGCTGCGCCGCCCATCGCCGTCCGTCTCCCTCCGCTCAAAGTGTGCGTGTGCTGCTGTGTCGGTAAAGCCGTAAACTCAAAACTGTAATCAACGGTGTAAGCCCGTCGCTCGCGAAGTCTGGTGCACTAACGCACTTCTCAACCAAGAGCTACCAGAACAGCAACGTACCGTGGACCTGGACCGGAATTATGCCGGACCACACTGTATACTCCCACGTGAAATCGTGATGGCCCCTGTACTCCCGCACGTGAATCGTCACGTGTGCGTATATGGCCCCGCTGCGAGGCCCCCAGTGTGTGCATGTGTTCATCGCATGTGAGACGTGTGGCGGCTGGCGCGCGCTGCGCCGCCCATCGCCGTCCGTCTCCCTCCGCTCGAGTGAGCCTCTCCCAATGCCAGACATCGGCGGGTTAGCCGGGGGCTCCGCCGCAGAGCCGCTCGACCGCCGCCTGCAGGTTCGCCGCGCTGTGCCTCAGCGCCCCTCGCGCGGCGCTCTCTCCGAAGCCCATCGCGACGAGCTGCGCCACGCCACGCTCCACCTTGTCGTCGGCAGACAGCCGTACCGCCGCCCCGGAGAGGGAAGCGGTGCCCGAGGCGCTGAAGGGGAGCGTGCCCTGCCGCTCCCGCTTCTTCGGCTGTCTGGCCGGCGCGGGAGGCGGCGGCGGCTGTGCCGAGGCGAACGAGCCAGGCACGCGCAGGAAGCCGGGCGGCGGGGGGAGGGTCTGCTTGGCCGGCGCCTCCTCAGCGTCGCTGGTCAGCTCTTCCGCGCCGGCGCACTCGTCCACGTCATACCACCGCACCGCCTCCTTGTCGCTCCACTCGTCCGCGAAGCAGCCGTCGCCCTCTCCGCCCGGCGGAGCAGCGCGGGGAGGCGAGGGTGGCCGCGGCAGCGCCTCCGCCTCGCCGCCCTCCGCCTCGCCGCCCTCCGCCTCGCCGCCCTCCGCCTCGCCGCCCTCCGCCTCGCCGCCCCACTCGTCCAGCTCCTCGAGCCCGCACCCGCCCCCCCCACACCCGCCCCCCCCACCCGCCAGCCCGCCCCCGCGCTGCCCCCACAACTCGTCCAGCCGGCCGGGCCCCGCCCCTCTCCCTCCGCCCCCTCCGCCCCCGCCCTCCGCCCCCGCGGCGGCCCGGACCCGCGAGAGGCCCGTCATCATCACGCCGATCGAGCGGAGGCGCAGCCGCGCGTGGGAGCGAGTCGAGTCAGGCACGCCCCCCTCCGCCGCGCCGCCCCGCCTCAGCTCCCTCTCCAACAGCGGCAGCGCGCGCGCGTACAGCTCGCCCGCGCTGCCGATCGCGGCGCCGCGCGGCGCGGCGCGCGACCGCACCTCGAAGCTCGAGTCCTTGAGCCGGAGCGTGAGCTTCTCGCCAACCAGCCCCGCGGCCAGCATGCTCGCGCCGAGCCCCTCGCACATCGTCCACAGCTGGCGGCGCAGCGCCGCAGGCTCGTCGCTCGACCCAAACGTGTCGGAGAAGGAGATGCCCTTCTGCATCGCGCCCGCGTCGCCGCCCCGCTCTTTCTCGCACCAGCCGAGCGCCACCTGCAGCAGCTGGTCTGCCTGCGGGACACGTCCCGGACGTGTCGTGGACGCGCCACGGCTCGCGCCTCCTGCCGCGGCTGGTGTCGCCCTGCCGCGCGAGAAGAGGCGGTGCTGTATCTCGGCTACATCTCGGCTATATCTCGGCTATATCTCGGCGCCCTGCCGCGCGAGAAGAGGCAGTGCGCCTCGGCCGCAGCCTCGAGCAGCTCTCCGCCGGTCCGCACGCCGAGCACCTCCTGGAGCAGCTTCTCGGCGACGCGGCCGAGGAACGGGACCTGGCCACGAGGTGTAGCCGAGATATAGCCGAGATGTAGCCACGAGATATAGCCGAGATGTAGCCGCGAGGTGTAGCCGAGATGTAGCCGAGATGTAGCCGCGAGATGCCGAGGTATAGCCGAGCTGTAGCGCATGAACTCGGGGCAGCCTCGTGGTGTGCGGCCGAGGGCGGGGGCGCCTTGCGCGTCGGCGTGGCCGAAAGGAAAGCGAGGACCGCCTCTACCGTCGGCGAGACGGTGTGCTGCCCGTCCGGCTTGTTGACGTCGGCGCCCATCTTTGCGAGCAGAAAGTTGGGCGCGATGCCGGCCTGATCAAATGGAGCCACGAGACACTCATCAGACGTCGAGAAGCAGAGAGCAGTGCGGCGACGCGCCGAGAGCGTCAGCCCGCCCGTCGCGTCCCTCACGCGCCGCCGGATCTCGGACACCACGGGCCCGGCCAGCGCGTGCACCCTTCGCGCCGCCTCCACCTCGCTCAGCCAGCTTGCCACGCCCTCGCCGACCTCGCCCGCCTCCTCGCCCGCCTCCTCGCCGCCCCACCCCCACTCCCCGCCGGACATGTCCCACCGCGAGGAGAGCGGCGCCAGCCGCGGGGCAGCGCCGGCCTCCCCGCCGCCCGCCGGGCAGCCGCAGCCCTCTCCGCTAACCAGGCTCGCCCTCGCGTGGCTGCCGAACCTATCTCAGCAGTTAATTAGCAGTTAATTAGCAGTTAATTAACACAGGCTCGCCCTCGCGTGGCTGCCGAACCTATCTCAGCAGTTAATTAGCAGTTAATTAGCACTTAATTAACACAGGCTCGCCCTCGCGTGGCTGCCGAACCTATCTCAGCACCGCACGGCGGATCACGCACCGGTGCGCACTCCCCCAGGCTCGCCCTCGCGCGGCACGCCGCACCGCACGCGCCGCCGCAGGTAGTGCGTCAGGTCGAGCGAGCACTCGTCGTACCCCATCCCGCACGAGACGGCCGGGTCGTACTCACGGTACACCTCCATCGCCGTCGCCGCAACCTCGGCGTACTTTTCGTACTCGGCCGGCACAAACGTCAGCTCGACCGACGGCATCCCAAACTCCTTCCCGCGCCGGCACAGCTCCTTGGCGACGAAGCCGGGCTGCCCGCTCCGCACGCCCCACCGGCGCGCGACGTAGTTGGCCGTCAGCACCAGCGCGCCGCCCACCGCCAGGGGCCTCTCCGCCAGCTCGGGCCGGTCGCGCATCGCCACCGCGGCGTAAAACTGATCAAAGTCGACCACGACGCACACGCGCTCGAGCCGGCGCGAGGCCTCGAGGTCGGCGCGCCGCGCCGCCACCGTCGCGCGGGCGGCGGCGCGCTCGGGCTCCGAGACCTTGCGCTTGGCGGCGAGCAGCTTCGCGACACGCCGGTCCACGGCCCTGTCGAGCTTGCGCTGGTGCGCGGTGAAGGGCGAGTTGGCGGCCGTCTGAAGCACAATCTCTGCAATCTTCTCGCTGTCGACACCGTCCATCCCCGCCTTTGCCGACGAGGAGACGTACAGCGCGCGGGCCTGGGCCGAGAAGGAGGGGCCGCCAGAGGAGGGGCCGCCAGAGGAGGAGCCGGCGGCAGAGGAGCCGGCAACAGCGCCGCCGAGAGGAGGATTGGTCACGCCGCCGTGCCCTTGTGTAGAGGAGCCGGCAACAGCGCCGCCGAGAGGAGGATTGGTCACGCCGCCGTGCCCTTGTGTGGGCGCAGCCGCCGAGGTTACCGCCGCCATCCGTGCACGGGATGGTTGCGATGGAACGATGGAGGTGGAGGCACGGCACGGTTGGTATAGTAGGGGGAGGGCTCCGCGGCTTGGAGTACTTTTCAGTTGCAACCATCGCGAGATCCACACACTAACACAGACATCTGAAGAAGGAAAGACGCGGGAACATCGTTCGACCTCGTGTGACATGTTGTATGGCCACCGCCTCCCGAGAAGGTCCCGGTCCCGCGAGAAGGTCGACGAGAAGGTCTCGGGCTCGATCGCGATGGATTACCCCGACTTTTTGCTTACCGGCGCCCCTTGCCCTTGCCCTTGCCCTTGCCCTTGCCCCCAGTAATCGGCGGCGCCGGACCCTTTCGCTCGTCCAAATTTGCCCGTATCTAGATAGTTACCGTTGTGGTTGTACAATTCTTACACTCCCGACTGCCCGTCGGCCGGTCAAGGCGAGAGGGGCCCACATCTCTCCTTCCGGGCCCCGCTTCCACTCCCATTCAGGCAGCCGACACCCCATCGGATCGGCGGCGACGGGTGCGATCTCGCCGTCTGAGCCGCATTCTGCACCTCCCAAAAAGTATGGTCGGGATTACGCTCACAGCGGAGCTGCTCGGCGTCAGTGGTGGACATGGGTCGATGGTCGGGTACAACAAGCGCTTCTCTGCAATGAATGGGAGGAATGCCAACCTTGCCTGTCTGGCCGACATGCAAGCTGCCGCAGCCCTGGGCCGAGCTTGGTCGGACTTTGGCCTCTGGCTGCTACCGCGAGGGAGGGCACCCGTGTGTGTATCTGCGTCTCACCGGTGCAGCAAAGTGGGCAGAGTGGTACAAGAGGAGCAGCCGCCGCCGCCAGCCGCCAGCGCGCTAAAAACGACGCTTTTTTTTCGCCGGTACTTTGGCCGTACTTTCTTCTCTGTACTTTGGCCTCGAAGGTGCCTACCCAAGCTCAATTTTATATAGCAGGGCCCGCCCCCAGTTCGGTCTAGCGGAGACTGAACAGGCGCTCGTGCAAGCCCTACCGCATCCGAAAGTCGCATCTGAGGCGGCGGGCCCCCGTGGCGTGACCCAGCGGAGCACTCCTTCGCCGCTCGCTGCTCTAAAAATCCGAAGTCCGTAGTTTCTTGGTACGCTGCAGCCAGATCGTGCGATGCTCTCCACCCTCTCGCTAACGCTGTCCTACCAGGTGGGCGTGCCCAGTGGCCGCGCCGCCATCGGCACCCGCTCCGCCGGCGGGCCGGCCATGATGGCGCGCACTCCGCTCATGGCGGGCAACTGGAAGATGAACACGGACCTCGACGAGGCTGTGGCGCTCGCGAAGGCCGTCTCTGCAGAGGCGGACAAGGCGTCCGGCGTCGACGTGGCGGTGTGCGTGCCGTCCCCGTTCCTGATTCCGGTCAAGGAGGCGCTGGCTGGCGGCAAGGTCGGCCTCGGCGCGCAGGACTGCCACTGGGAGGACGCGGGCGCCTTCACGGGTGAGAGAGCCGCCCTCGCCGCCTCGCGCCGGAGCGCTGCGCCACCCCCGCCGCTTGCCGCCCTCGGGAGAGGAGAGCTGGCCGGCCGGAGCACCGGGAGCGACCGGCGGCCGCTCCTTCGCAGGCGCGATCTCGACCTCGATGATCAAGAGCGTCGGCTCCGACTATGTGCTGGCCGGCCACTCTGAGCGGCGGGCGGTCTTCGGCGACTCGGACGCGGACGTGAACAAGAAGGTGCTCAAGATCCTGGCGGGCGGGCTCAAGGCCATCCTCTGCATCGGCGAGCTCAAGGAGGAGCGCGAGTCCGGCGAGACGTTCAACGTTTGCGCCACGCAGCTCTCCGAGGGACTGGCGGGGGTGGACGCGGCGATGATGAAGGACATCGTCATCGCGTGAGCGCCGCCCTCGCCGCCCCTCGCCGCGCCACCCCCCACCCCCTCCTCTCCCCGACGCCGCACCGCCCGGCGCAGACGCCGCGGGTCGCCCCTCACCTCGCCCCTCGCCCCCCCTCCGGCTGCAGGTACGAGCCGGTGTGGGCCATCGGCACCGGCCTCACGGCGACGCCCGAGGTGGCGCAGGAGACGCACGCGTACATCCGCAGCTGGTTCGTCGAGAACTACAGCCAGGAGGTTGCCGACGCGGTGGTGATCCAGTACGGTGGCTCGGTCAACGACAACAACGTCGACGACCTGATGGCGTGCGCCGACATCGACGGCGCCCTCGTCGGCGGCGCCAGCCTCAAGGCGGACTCCTTTGGGCGCATCGTCAACTACGTGAAGAAGTGAGCCAACGCCGCGCCGAGCGTTTGTTCGCAGCAGTGCCGCGCGCCGAGGCCGATCCCGCCAAAACCCGGACCGCGGCGTGTTGCGCCGCGCCCGCATAGGCGCGGCCGGGGCCCTGCTTTTTTGAAGAGGTAGGCCCCCTTGGCTAGACGTGCGCGGCACGCCACCATGGCCTCAGTTAAAATGAGCGGTGGTAAATTCTTTTTGGCGAGCGCGAGTTGGACCGACGCTTCTGGCGAGTACAGACCACGCCTCACTTTTTCACAGTGCTTTTCGCTGCGCATGTGCTCGAGCCCCGGCGAGGGGCGAGCGCGAGCCGCGAGGGCTTGTTGTCCGAGGAGGCCACCGGCCAAAAGCGCATGTCTTGAAGGTCCGATACTGGAAGCCCATATACGACCTTACACTTGTGCTGTGAATAGCAGCGTGGACTCGCGACGACGCTTGAATGCCGCCACAGCGAGCGACACAGCGAGCCTGGGCCTGGAAGGGCACCGCCTCGCTCTCCGACGCTGCCGCCGACACCTTTGCGCTGCGCAAAAAGCAGGCTCGCGTGAGCTCAGCGGCGCTACACCACGCCAGGTGGATTGGCAGTGCCGTCGAGCCGTGGCAGTGGCAGCCGCCTCACATTGCCGAGCCCGCGTCTATGCTCGATTCGCCAAGCATCGTCCCTCTGCAGGGCGCGGACCTGGCCGCAGGTCACACCGCCGTCGCGCAGGCTCTCCTCTCGCGCTTTGAGCTGCTGGCGAGGGCGTGCACCGAGGCGAGGCAAGCCGCCGCCCTCTCCGAGACACGGCGCCGGTCGGCCGAGGCGGCCGCCGCTCGTGCAGAGGCGGCGGTTCGCGAGAAGTTCGAGCGCGAGGTCGAGATGACGCAAGCCCTCCACGCCGCCCAGCAGAGGGACGAGGCTGCGGCAACGCGGCTCGCCGACCTCGAGGCGTCGCTGCGGTCGGCGCTTGCAGAGGTGGCAGCATCGCGGCGCGAGGCGGCAGCGGCGGCGGCCTCGAAGGCTGAGCTGGCCCGGGTGCGTGCTGACGCGGCGGAGGTGCAGCACCGCTGGGAGTCCGCCTCCGCGCGGGCGGGAGAGCTCGAGGCGCAGCGGGACGAGCTCGAGGCGCAGCTGGCCGAGGCGCGCCGGAGCTACTCCGAGGCGGAGGCGGAGGCAGACAGGGAGGCGGAGGCGCGGGGGGCGGCGGAGCGGGCCGTCGCTGCCCTGCGCGCCGACGCGGAGGAGCGGGCGGCCGCCTCGCGCGCCCTGCTCGAGGCTGCGGAGCAGGCCGCCCTCGGGGAGGGGGGCTGGAGGCAGCGCTCGCCCAAGCCTTCCACGAACCGCCACCTCGATGGCACCGTCCTCAGGCGACGCGGGCGGCGGAGCGGGAGGCGAAGGAGCGCGCGGTGTCGGAGGCCGAGGCGAGGCGCGATCTCGCGCGTCTCGAGGCGCAGGCGGCGACGCACATGCTGGTGAGACGCGCGCGCCTGCGGCTCCTCCCGCGATTCGCTTCCCTTGCCCGCGGTTAGGCGCATCGGGAGGGACGCGCCGAGGGGGCAGGGGGGCCCGCCGCCCTCCCCTCCGACCTCTCCTCGAACCTCTCGCGGCGACTCGAGCGGCTCGAGGAGGCGGCCGCTCGGGGCGGGGAGGAGGCGGCCGCCGAGGCGTCGGCCGCCGAGGCGTCTGCAGCCGCCGTGAGCCTGTGCAGGCGCCTCCTGCACCGCGCGGCGGTGGAGGTTGCGGTGGCGCGGCGGGACCGCGACCAGGCGCGCCGCTCGGTGGCGCGGCTCGTGTCGTGGGTGGGAGAGAAGTCGCTCGGTGTTGAGGCGGCCGAGGCGATGGCTCGGGCAGACCTGGTGGAGGCGGTCGGCGAGCGGGCGGCGCGGCTTGAGGAGAGGGCGGGGCTGGCGGCGGCGGAGGGGGCGAGGGAGGCGCGGGGCGAGCTTGCGACCCTCGCCGAGGTGCTGCGGCTGGCGGCGGCAGCGGGGCCCAGCGACCAGCCACCGCCTCCGCCGCCGGACGAGGGCAGCGCGGGGCCGTCGTCGTGATTAATTATACAGTATACAACAGTCAACTTCTAGAGTGGTAGCGGCAACCGGTAAGTGGGACGCAGACACCCGACCATGTGGTGACATGTGATCATATTGGACACATTGTGTCTTCCACCTACCACCACCTTGGGGCGGGGAATCTGGTGTCTTCCTTGGTATGAGGGATCTTCAATCCGCACTCGCAGGCTACGGGCTCCCAGTGCGATTTCTTTTTCCCGACGCCGGCCGCGAGCAGCCCTCGACGCCGTGCCCTCGCCGGACTTCGCAGCCTCGCTGCCCAGCGTTCCTGCCGCAGCAGCGCTGACCATGGCAGGCGGTGCCGACAGCGAGGATTGCTTGGAGTGCAAGCTCGTGGGCAGCGGCGCCATGTTCAGCCTCTCGGGCTACTTCTTCTACCTGTCACGCAGCCCGCGCTTCTCCTCGTCTTCAACCTCGGGTCTCCGCTCCTTCAATGGAGTCATGTGTGCTGCGTTTGCCGCCGCCGGTGTGGCGCGCTTGTTTGCGGACGACGTACGGAGAGTGTTGGCGAGACAGTGAGACGCGAGCAAACGTTTGCGGGAGACGCATGGGGAGGGTTCTCAGACACAAAGGGTCGCACTCGCTGCGCCCCTCACGCGCTGGTGCGGTGGTGGGACAGTCGCCGAGAAGCAGTGTCCGACACACGTGGCCCACCGACATACTGCCCGTCGTATCGCTTGGGTGTACCGAACGGTGAGTTGCGGTT